CTCCATCTCCCGTGTTGAGGCTGAGGTACTGTGACGCCCCATGCTCAGGATTTAGGGTTCAAATTTGACCTTAATTGCTCCAGCATTCTCATGCATCCCTGCGACATGTGTCGCTTTTTGAATGAATGCTGTGTCGTTTTCTTTAAGAAAAAATGGTTATCAAACAAATAGAAAAAAATGATTATCAACATCTAAGTTACGAATTTTACTACTCCATGAACTTTCAAGTTCGTATCTAATTTTTTGAAAAACGACACACATTCATGCAAAAAGTATGTGAGAAATATACAAATAGAAGAAACTAAATAAAAGCGCTCCAATTCAAAGAAACGGTGGAAATATCATAATTACAAAAGAAAGTCGATTTTGTGGACTACGAGGAAGCATTCGTTTTTATATCTTCCCATAGATTGGTTGCTGATCCAGAAGTGTCTGTGAAAAGTCGGTTATTTCTCTATAGTCAAATAAACCAAAAGATCAAACAAAAGCCATTGTAGGAATAGCCATGTACACTAAAATCTTACCTGAAGTCTATCTAATAAGTCTTTAAACTCTAAAATATATCTAAACTCTAAAATATATCTAATAAGTCTCCAAAACTTTAAAAATTATTTAATATACTTCTAAATTTTTAAATTTGTATTCTAATGTATCCCTAAACTTTCAATTTTATGTCCAATAGTCTATAATCTATTCAACATTATTTAAAATTCATGAATTTATTAGACACAAAAATCAACTTTATGTCTAATAGAATGATTAATTTAAAAAGACGTTAAATAGATTAAAGATCCTTATTGGACATAAAATTAAAAATTTACCTCTCATGCACTTTTAAAGTTCACCAATTAATTACACTATAAAATTTAAATTTTAATGATTTATCAAACATTTATTTTATGTAAACAAAAAAAATTATTTAATTGACTCGCAATTTGAGGAAGGGAATAACTCATGAGGTCACACGTCTCTTATAACACATTTTATATGAATTTATCTCTATAGCATCTCATTCTAAGATACGTGGACTACTGTCCATCACAAAGAATTCATAAACGCCAAATCGAACATAACTTAAGTGGTTTAAGTACCTTTCCTGACCAAGAGGTTATGAGTTCGAACTCCCACCCCACATGCTGTACTCAAAAAAAACTCAACTCGCATTTTCCTGAATATATCAAGTTATCGTCGTTACTAATTAAAAAATTTAAAGACAAAATTATTACTCCCTTCAAAATTGAAAAATTTCCATGGATGATAGTTTGCCACAACTTCTCTATCCAGAAATTATATATTTAATGTGCTTGAAGGGACCATTTGTTTTGTAGATTTTTATTTATTTACTTGGTATATAGGCAATGGATTATCTCAAACTTCCAAAAAAAAAATCTTAGTCTTGACTTTTTTTTTTTTCCAACATATGTTATACTTGTTTAGAATATTTTATAACTTAAATACTTTTTTCACATTTTTTTTTCTGTAATCATCTTCTAAGTGTTTAAATTATAAGATTGTTGATCACTTTAAAATATTTTCTGAATAATTATTTCTCAAATGTAACTTACATTACTTCAAAAAAGGAAAATGAATTTTAAAACAATTTTATTTTTAAAAATATTTTTATTTATTTATTACCAAACGCTATAGATTTTATAAAAAGGTCTAAAAATCACTTATAAAACTATACTAAACACTCTAAATTAGTAACTTTTCCTAAAAAGAGAAATTTTTTTAAAAAGAAGTGTGATTTTGTTTCAAAATAACTTTCCCAAAATCAATTCATAATATGTTGATATTCTTTTTATGATAATTTAATCAGATGGTCAGTTGTCAATATATAATAACGACCACCTTAATGATTCTCTTTCCAATGCTAAGATAGCTCAACCATTAAATCATATTTTTTAGAGTTCAGAGGTCCAATCTTCATCTCAATATTTGTTGTACTAAAGAAAAATTACCTAATCTTTTCTTTTTCCTTTTTTTATGTTGAAATTTTGAAATCAATTAATTTTTTTTGAAGTACGAAAAGTCGGGTAGAAAGATTCGAATCCATGACCTCGTACTTAAAGTGGAAAGCCAATTACCGATCTAAGCTCATTTTGATATTTTGAAGTATTGGAAAAAGGTCATTCTAAATGTACTTTCAAAACTATCCCACACACTCCATTGAAACTAACCCATTGAAACTAACCCATACAAAAATTCAAAGTGAGTCTATTCATGCAAACCAACATAGTTAAATCAAACATCTATTAATTTTTTAAGTAAAAAATTAAATTCTCCACCACGTTCATTGAATTACAATAATAATAATAAATAAATAAAAGACAAAACAATGTGGGTTTGACAAGACCAAAAAGATGTAATATTTCTTGGACTTAGACACCATGTTATTCATGTCAAATTTTGGGGGGACCATTATCAATAATTAGAATGAATTTTATTTTTCTCTAGAAATGTATATGGTGGCACTCATGGGAGTATATAGAAATGACAAAAATCTTTGTGGGGCTCTACATCTAAAATGAGGATGGCTTCAAGAATGGAGGAAATTTCTCCCTCATCGTTTTTTTGACGATATATTAACTTTCCAAACTAAATTATTAATAAAGAAAAGGTTGGAGGTGATTTCTCACCGGGCCATGTGACAGCCACTGATACGATAGGATGGTGAATCAACATAGATCAATTTATAAATACTGGTTATCCTCGAATTCCATTCACTGGGCCGAGCTGAATTGACTCCCAGTTCGGCCATCTAAAAGGTACAACGAGTCCGATTTAGTATCTCGTACATCGACAGTCTAACCTACCAACCACGCGGTCAGAGGTCATTCCTTCAGAAATCGATCTCCAACATTGTCCATGACAACACGCTGTGATCTCTGGAACCTTAAAAAATGGTTAGAGACTTGTCGAAAGTTTTGTCAGAAGCTCGGCCTATAAATAGAGACATTCTACCTCATTCTCATATACGCGAAACTATATTCTCTCTCAGATATAATTCGACCATTCATTGACTTGGGCGTTAGAGTATTTTCTCTTTTGCAGCTCCCTACTTATGAGAATCTCCGCTCGATCACTGTCGAGCCAACTTCCGTCTGAGTCAAACTTCACGAACTTGGTCAAATCCTGAATCATAAAAATATTAAACATTTTTAAATTTAATTATTTCAAACCAGTGTCAATACAAGATTATTTTAAATAAATTAAAGTACATTATTTTACGTGGTGAGTCAACAGTTCTGGTCCCTATTCTTCAAATCGAGAAATGAAGGGGAGATAAGGATAAAGGATAGGGATGTGTTCCCCATCGCTACCCACACCCTCTTATCATTCTTAGATTGATGAAAGTTTTATGAAAAAATAGAAATAAAATCATGCATGTAAGGGTGAGTTATTGGTATGATTGAGCCCCTTTGTAATAATAATATATTAAATCATATGGGCTAGACTTTTATTTGGTTTCTTATCTTTTCGGATTCTTAACAGCAAGAGGATGTCGATGGTTCCCACGAACCTCGAATGTTGGCTCATCGATCTTAGCCGGATCTCATTTTTAGACTGAATGCTCGTTTGAGCTTGTTGAACTCTGATACCATATTAATATTTATGAGGTTCCATCTCAAAACCAATTGGCAGTAAGAGGAGTAGTTCATGTCTATTATAAACCTAGGTAAGGTCTCTTCTTTTATCAATGTGAGATTCTTAACATACCCCTCAAAATCGTGGCTCTTTTTGGCTCATTGATTTAATTTACATATTAATTCACTATAATCATAATATCCGATATTTACATGGGCTATAGTTGGGAAAAAAATATTTTTCTAATGGTGACTACAATCAGTATTTGAACTCAAAAAGTAGAAATGAAAATCCAATTTGCACCAACTAAACATCAATTTGAAAAATAATTACCAAACATGCATCCTCCCCAAATCCTATATTAGACCACAAATTAAAATATAGAGAAGATAAATCTCTCAATTGCTCAGTATATACTTTAACGTAATTCATTTACTTTTCTATAAATTATCATCACCTTCCATGAAATTACTTCTAAAATCTCTCAATAACCCAATAACCCAATATATTTCATTGTTTTCTTTTACTATAACTACTGTCGTCTCTCTTGAGCTTCTAGCTTTGATCAACATGGTGTGACTTTGGCTAGTGGATCCCTATAATTGAGACCTGTTGTCTAGGCTACGCAAAGCTAACAGTACAAGACTTGAACTTAAAGTCCTCAAGGTAGGTGGTATCTCATGAGACAAAATAACACCTTTCATATTTAAAATTTGAACGCGTTCTTTGCTAACTTTCGTAACGTCTACATATATGGAAAAATTGTTTCGAGTTTTATAATTTTTCTCTCAATTTTCGTTCATATTGACATAATAAAACAAATCATCTTTCTATCATCTATTGACCTGATCAAATAAATCTTTTTTTCTTTCAAATACACCGATGAATTTATATGAATATAAATGGTAATAGTCACAAACAAACACTAAGCACATGGTAAAATGTTTGTTTGCCTACGAGTGCGATTAACGTTGGGTTTGTAAGGGGAATGCAAATAAAATTCCACATTGGCTAAAAAAGGGAATGATCGATGATGTATAGATCATGACAATTATCTACGTTCATATGAGGCATTTTGAGTGAAACAAAAAGTAAAGTCGTGTGGATTATTTCCAGAACGGACAATATATCATACTATTGTAGAGATATCGGATATCGTTTCTTTTAAAGATCTTGGATATAGAACTAGTTTTATTTTGTTCAAAGCATCCATAAAGAGTGTAAACAAGACAACTTGAAATGTTTATTGATTTTCAAACTTAAAAAGGAAACAAACACTCATTCTTGGAGCTTTTATTATTCTTTACCCTTACCCCAAACACAGCAACACAGAAATTAAATCAACCCTTCGACACACACACACACTTCAAACTTCAAACATTAAACACAGACATTAATTTCTTGACACATAATCAAAGTGGTAATTTTTCAGTCTCAAATTTGTAGTCAAACGTTGTAACCCCAGTAAAAATCCCATCTTCAAACTTGTTGGTCACTTGTCTTCCATCTTTCAGAGTGTCCCGTCGAATGTAGGAGAAAGGAACATCGCAAGAAGCTTGTGTTATCACACCACCAAATCTCACTTTCGACATTGGAGGAACAGTAACAGTTTCTGTAACTTCTTCAAACGACTTCTCCTTCTCAGTTTCTTCCCATGTTTTTCCACTCGTAACCTCGAATGAAAGTTCAAACTTCAATTTCCCGACCGTCGGAATCTTCGTCGTAAATTTTGCCGCCAATCCGACAGTAGTCGACACAGAAGAGCTCCAACTTCTTTCCACCTTCTTCTCGTACCTAAATTTCAATGTCACTTTCTCTGCAACTTCGGTGTCATTAATGGCGGTTCCTTTCGATACTGTGAGAATCTTTTTACCGTAAACTCTCGCGTCGTTAAGACGATACTCAACGTCGTCGATGCTTCTAGCAACCACAACTTCTGTCACTTCAAAACGAGCAGTGTCGGTAATGGTTAAGACAGCAGCATTGAGACAATTTGTTTTCCCTTCTGTCGTCAGCCTCTTGCAAAATCTGCTGTTGGCTTTGTTGCGGAGAGCTACGAAATTGTTGTCGACTTTTACAGGCCAAAATAAGGTGTTGGGGTTGTCTTTTTGAGTGTTGATTGATTCGCAATGGATCCAATTCGGGTCGCGAATCCAATACTTGTCTGACTCGACATGCTTTATTCGGACATATCCGTCCTCCATGGATATGATCTCGAACACAACTGCTGGATCTTCGATGTTCGAAGTGGAGAATTTCAGATATTTGCCGGAGGGTTCGAGGTATTCCCCGTTGTTGCTCTTGAAAGCTACGTATTTTGGGAGAATGAATATGGAGTCCCAGTCGATTGTGAAGGAGACGACGAGATTGTCATCAATGGTGGTGAGATCTTCAACTTGTGCAGCTAAACAATCTCTATCAGCTGAACAGAGAAATTTGTTGAGTTGAACATGGCGAAAATAGTAGCCGTTTTGGTCGGGCACGAAGATCGGTTCGAACAAAGTGCACGACCATTTGGATTTGTCTTCTTCTTGTTCATCAGCAACAGCTGCAATGTAATTTGAGTGTTCCGAGGAACGAACCCAGAATTTGTTGTTGTAACAGCATCTTATGTGGACGAAACCCTTGTTGGTTTTCGAACCGCAGATTGCAAATTTCGAATAAGGACCAACCACATTCTTGCCGGAGTATCGGAGGAGACCGTCGGAGTTCTCGTCGTAACGAAGGTATCGATTGTTGTGCTTGGATTTGAGGGAGAAATGCTTTGGGATTAAGTTGGCTTCTTCTCCATCTTCGTCTTCATGATCTTCATCGTCGGATTCTTCCGCCATTGCTGCTCCCTCTTTCGAGCTCATCAGCTTCTTCTCGGCTTCGTCTATGTAGTCATCGTCTTCCTCGAACTCCATAGGATCTTCATCTTCTTGATATTCTTGGTCTTCTTGATCTTCTTCATTGTGTCCCTCCACAGTTTTAGGGTTATTTTGTTTCTTGCCTGACAATGCTTCACCAAGATCCTCAGCGGCTTCTCCCACAGTTTCAACCACCTTCCCTGTTGCTTGAACAAGGCCACCCACAAGGCCAGTTCCAGCTTTCCCAAATCCCCCGAAAAGGCCAGCCATTTTAATTTTCACTCTCAATTTTCAGCTGTTTAAGTTCTGCCATCTGGAGGAAGCTATTTATAGGGTAATTATAAATCAATTGATAATAAGAGGAGTAACGATGTATAATATTAACGTGAGTTTCGTAAACATAGCTCCTCGAGATGGTAGCTCTATTCAGCTCACCAATCTTGACCCAAATTCCATTCTTTTGGACCGGTTATGCTTGTCTGAATTTTTAAGATTTGATACTATATCAATACGCATGGTTCCTTCAATTGACAATAAAGAAGAGTATCTCATGTATAGTATAAATCTTGTACTGCTCTTAATATATTCCTCAACATAGTGGCTCTTTGAATTCACAAATTTTGACCCGAACTCATTTTTTGACCAGAAGGTTGTTAGAACGTTTTGGCCTCTAGTACCATATCAATATCATAGAGTTCCATTTCAAAATCAATCGCCAATGAGAGAAGTAGTATATTATAAACGTGAGATCTTTAAACAATAATGAAGTATTGAAGCATCTTAAAGAGACAGCCATTAGAGATTGGAAAATACGATTATGTTATGACCAATAATTATGTTATGACCAATAAGTATCAATCTGTTCTGGCGGGTGAGAATCTATCTTGTCCAGACCATTTTATTTAAAAAAAAAATACAAAAGTAAATAATGTTTTTAAAATTAATAAACCATTAATTTCTTTTTATGGTGGTTAGGATAAGGATTGATATAGATGTTTATCAAAGAGCATGTTATTAAATATCCATCGACATATCCATGTATTCATAGGTTTGACATCGACATATGAGGTAAATCAACATTTTCTGCCAAACTGATCGTAGCTCAAGTGGTTAAGGCACCTATCTTTGACCAAAAGGTCATGAGTTCGAATCCCCACCCCCACATGTTGTGTACTAAATAAAATCAACATTTTCTAATATTACATAAATATCAACCAAGCTTCACTAATATAGATAACATTAATATTATCATTTTTAACTTATTTAGAAATTGTAAAATTATTATTTGTTAAATTAGATATTTTTCGAATTTTTTTATTTAAATAATTTCTATAGAAATATTCATTGACATCGAAATTTATCGATATTTCTATAAAAGTGAGCTTTCGATATTTCCATTGACATCGACGTTTAAAACGGTCCGGAAAACTAATATTTTTTCTAGATATCTATGCACGTGAAGATAAGATTAGCTGGGGAAGCAATAATTCACCATTAATTATTGTCTTCTTATTTTAATATTGTTCTTTTTTGATAAGTTATTGTCTTCTGATTTGAACCAGGGTGTGGATCTCTCCCAAACTGACATTTATATGAAAAATGACAAACACAGCTGACTAATTCAATAATTATGGCTCCAAATTTTAATTTTTAGCTTTTTTCGGTTTTAGAAATTATATATATGATTTCAACTTGCTCTATTGTGATTAAACATAAATAAATAATAGTGTAGTGTATAGTGAATAATAAATCTCTATAAAGTATTTTAGTGGATAAGTATTTGTTACCTTCCCCCTTTTTTTTATTTAAACAGTCATGAACACCTGCAAGGAGCAGGCCTTTTACCAATTCAATTCGTATTTCTACTACTGCAGAGGAGAAGGAACTTCGTTCTGATGATGGTATCACCTTTTTCCTCCATTTCCAATCTTGACAGTTCATGTCGGCCAGCATATTCCAGATTCTTCCACATAATTAAGGATTAGGACCAAAACATTGAAGGTTGACAGTTGAATCTCCTACCTCACATCAATTAAATGAGAAGATAATAACAACACGTTACTGTTAAGGATCCGCCTACTCCAGTCCATTTCAGCTTTTGACCTCTAATACCATTTTAATATTCATGAGTTTTATTTCAAAATCAGTTGACAATGAGAAGAGTGTTGGGATTAGTGGAGCCAAATCGACGTCGGAATGGGCTAGGGACGAGTCGGGATCGAGCAGAGACGCGTCAGGACGAAGAAGGAATGAAAAATAGTTGAAGAAGTGGGTTGCAGGCCATGGGGCTGAGAAGGTAGCACCACGGCGTTATCATGATGCGGGTGCACGGATGAAATTTTTGTCTATAGCACCATGCTGGTGTATTGATGTTTATCAATATCTAGTTTAGGGTTTTAGGGTTTGCTAGCCGAAATTAGAGCCGATTTTGAGCGTTTTCAGGAGCAGTTTCAAGGCAAAGGCTAAAGGTATTGGTAGAGACATAAATTGGGGTAGATCAAGATCGCCATATTCGGGGTAATTAGATTTTGATTCTATTGTGAGTTTTCATTCCTAAACCTAAGTATAGTGTATTATAATACTTAGAAGCTAGAGGGCGTTTGTTGGAACCTCTAGAGGGTGCATATCTGGGAAGATATTTGAGTGCTTTGTATCCAATCTCGATTATTAGTAGAACCCGCATCTAATCGAAAGACTAGATATAGCCCATAAATGTTGGAGTGAACCAGTATAAATCTGTTGTTTATTGCGTTCCCTATATTTTCCTTTGTGTTGTGTGATTGGCTTAGATAATTGGATAAAAATATGGAGGGGAAATTTTTTGGAGTGCTTAATTCCCAAGAAGTGGTATCAGAGCTGTAAAGATGCAGTATCATGGGATCCAATCAGAAGTCACATCACTTTGAGGGGGTGTTGAGATTTGATGAGGATAATTTTGAGGTTTGGAAGATGTAAGTGACAGATCTTTTTACATACAAGAAGATTCATAAAACTCTGATAGAATGACCGACCACTGGGATATCAGATAAAGAGTGGACTGAGATGGATGAACAAGTGGTAGCAATCATCAGGCTACGTTTGACGATGAATGTGGTGACTGATCTGATGAACAATGTGAAGTCTATGGAGATAACTTTTTTCAGAGGATGCGAAGGCTATAAAACTACTATCCTCTTTGGCTGACAGTTGGAAGACGATGAAGACGGCGGTGTCGAATTTGTTAGAGGATAAGAGTCTGGAATTTTCAGATATCTATGATGCTGCAATTGCTGAGGAGGTTCGCACAAAAGAGAGTGGGAAGAATTCTGTATCCACTTTCAGATGGGAGAACAGTCTAGAATCAACATTAGTAGCTAAGAGTAGAGGCAAAGGGAAGATGAGTTATAAGATAAAGCAGTATTATAACAACCAGAAAAGTGGGAGCAGCAGTGGAGATGTGAAGTGTTTTTACTACCATAAGAAGGGATACATCAAGACGTTTTGCAGGAAGCTTAAGGAGAATCAATAGAAGGGTAATTTTGTTAATGTTGCAGAAAGAGTAGAATAGTTTCTAGGTTGTGTTGAGAGTGACTCAGGAGATCGACCATTAGAGTGGGTCATGGACACTATACCATCGACGCAATTATCTTCAGATAGAAAGTGGTTCACAACTTTTACTAGCTAGCATGACGAGGTAAGGATGAGAAATGAGAGTATCTCCAAGGTCGGAGGAATTGAGGATGTTTGTTTGAAGGCTGATGGGGGAAAATAGTTGGTGCTACAAGCTGTCAAGTATGTTCCATGTTTCAAAAAGAATTTGTTATCTGCTGAAAAACTAGATGACGATGGTTTCAGGATTGAGTTCGTGGAGGATAACTAGAAACTTATGAGGGAATCCGAGGTAGTAGTAGTGGGCCAGCAGTAATGACAAAGGATACATGGGATTTGAGAGACAAAGGATACACAAGGTTGCAAATGGTTTAAGGCAAGACTTAAAAGGACCAGCAGCAATGACAACTAAGACAGAAGATGAAAATCTGCCATCAATTCAAGTACAATAGCTTGGAAGCAAAGGAAATGGTAAAGGGAATAACTCAGTGAGTTGTTCAACTGATTGTCAGTTTTGAGCTCCAATTGTCAGATGGTGTGACGATCTGATGAAGTCGCATAGGCGAAAAAGTGCATTAAGGGAGAAGACTGCGGTGGGTGCTAAAGTCAGGACAATGTTTCTAGAGTGGCAATGGACTTGGGTCGGAGTGCCAAGTCATCAGAGGGGAGATCTTCCTTCAGAGGTCGTTGAGTTCGATCGAGAAGAAAAACATCATGGACCACTTAGATCGCGAGTGGGAGCACGTGACTCTATCTCTAGCGTATGGGAGACAAAACAACATAGGATTGCTCAGTCTCGGAGCAATCACAGATGGAGCTTGGGTAGGGTCAAGCAGATGAGAGCCAGTTACTATTGGTACAGTCACTCGCCTCTCCAAGTAGGAGATTGTTGGGATTGGTGGAGCCAAATCGACGTCGAAACGAGCTAGGGACGTGTTGGGGCGAAGAAGGAATGAGCTGAAAAGCGTCAGGGCGAAGAATGAATGAAAAACAGTTGAAGAAGTGGGTTGCAAGCCATGGGGTCGAGAAGGTAGCGTCGCGACACTAGGAACGGTGCCGCAACGTTGTCGTGATACAGACATGTAGACAAAAATTTCTTCCGTAGCACCACGACACTATATCGATGTTTGTAATTAGAGCTAATTTTGAGCCATGAGAAATTGTTTGAGAGCGCTTAGATTCCCAACAAAGAGTAACCCATATTTATTATAATCATTGTTATATCCTTTATCTTTTCAATGTGAGATCCTTAATATGCCTCTTTTGAGTTAACCGATATTGGTCGGGTCCCATTTTTGAACCGAATGCTCGTTTGAGCTTTTGGACTCTGATACCATATTAATATTAACGAAGTTTCATCTCAAAGCCATACTTTCTTTTTAATAACGGTAAGAGTTTGTTTGGTATGCAATTTGAATCTTGTTTCTTATTCATATTCAATAAGATGAATATTTGTTTGCCAAATTTGTTTGTTTAAATGGTTAGATATTGTAATCCAAATAATAAAAACTCTCAAAACAAGATTTTTAAATTTTTTTGTATTTTTAGATTTTGAATATTAAATTTTAAATTGTAGAATTATATTAAATAAGTAAAATTTCAATAAAGGTATAAATTCATGCTATAAACTAATTTAATTTTTTTTTACCATTAAAACATGTAAAAATATAAAATATTATTAATTTTATTATTATATAATAATAATTATACAAAACTTATAACATATATCATAAATTTCAGTCTCATCATTGCGCCAGGTCGAGCCGGTCCAGCCCAAAGAAGTAATGGCCCAAGTTTGGCCCAAGCCCAAGCGCTACGGGCCTCAAGTATTGTTTGGGTCGGGTTTGGCCGGTCCAACCACTCAAATCTAGGCTCATAGCTCAATCCATGGGCCGAAGTTGATGAGCCAAAATTGGATCGAGCTTGGATCGACCCATATATTAATATAGTTTTAATTATTAAATTTAAATAACTAAGTTTTCTTTTTAATTCTAGAATATGTATTTTAATATAATTTTTTGAAAATTTTTTTGTTTTTTGTTTTTTTTAAAACTTGAAACAGAAGTAATTTGAGATGAACAGAGGTTAAATACAAGAAAAATTAAAAACTTAGACCTTTTGAATTGGAACTTGAGAGAATTTGAGATTGAGAATTATAATTTGAGTGAAGAAAAAGGGGAAGGTTGATATTTATAAGAAAATTTTGTATAAAAAACTTTTAAAAATTACAACCTAAATATTAGATATGTTAAAAATAATTTTAAATTTTGAATTTTATAATATCATGGAGTTAGAACCTTTCAAATCTTTTGTACTTCTCAAAACAAAGATTTAAATAAGATATTGGGAAGCTGGAGAGTTTGTTCTTAACATGTTCCTATTTAATAAGGTGGAAACCAAATTGTTTCATGTCAGCCTAGCCTACCAGACCTATGTGTTATTTATTTTTTATTATATAATATGAATATTAATAAATATTGGATCGGACCTTTGGGTCGGCCCAATGGACCGATCCAAATATGGCCCAAACGGGTAGGCCCATGGGCTATCCCAATTTGAGAAACAAAGATCCATATCCAATCCAATTTATAGATGGGCTGGGCCGAGCAGGTCAAACGTTGACCTTGGGTCGGGCTTGGATCGGGCTTGGACTGGACTTGGGCCGGCCTTTGGACTTTGAGCCCGATGATGAGGCTGTTATATGTTAATAAATTAATTAATAATATTTTAAATTTTCTTAGATTGAATAATAATTAATAATAACGTTTTCACCCGTAAAAAAAAGGTGGAGTTCAAAAAAATAAAATAAATAATAAATAAATAAAGGGCAAAACTCCCACCAACTAAACCTGAAACAAATGGGCTAAGGGGAAAAAGGGCCAAGGTGATAAAAGGGCCCATTGGTGTTACTTCTTTAGAGAATGTTAAATGTTGTGCAAATGCTCGCTACACGTCACTTATACAAGAGATATGCACAACGACAAAGAGCTGAATTGAGCGTAGCAAATAGTAGAATCGGTAAAAATATGATACATCGTGCTCTAAGTCTCCCCTCTTTTTATAGAAGAAGTCTCCTAATATTCATTTGGATGAATTGGCTCCACCAGTCCAGTCGGCTTGGCTTCGTCCGGTTTGATCGGGTGGTCTGAACTTGGTCGAGCAACCTTGATTAGTCAGGTAAACTCAATCCAAGTGAGTAATTGCGTCATTGGTGTTCCATGAATGTTGAAATTAAAAAATATGATCGAAATCACGAGTCGAGTAAGTCGGGTTGAAATTGGGGGACACAAAAGTTTCAAATCTTTTTCTTTTTTTTTTCTCTCTCACACCTCGAGGTCTAATGCGCAGATCTTTTTTTCCCCTTGCCTTAGGGTATAACGAGACCAATCTAACCCACTCCTCGAGTCAAGCCTAACTCGAGGTACGCCTGCGGAGGCGCAAGGCATGCGCCCTCCATAGTGCGCTCTCCGAATTGAAATCTTCCATATACAATTTTGATTCACTTTTATTCATAGAATGACCTTTACTTGTTCAACTTGATTGATGCATTTTCTGCTACTTTTAGATATCAATAGAGCATGGTTCACAATCCTTTCTGCTAACAATACTTTTTAGGTTGGGCTAGTGGGTAGGCTCTATTGCATGGTAAGGAAAAAGTTTATGACAATGGGTTAAATTCATCAAATTTTGTTGCAAGTCTTTGATAAAAAGGTCCTGAATTTGGGAGTTTATGATAACGAGCCACTTTCTGCTCACCTGAGCCGTTACTATTTGCTTGGTAAATCGTTAACCATTTTCACCAGTGTTCCAATAGATACCAGAACAAACTTGAAAAGTTAATATACCTACCATATAGTATATTAAAGTATATCAATTATAGATAATATACCAAGTATGGGGTACTTCAAGGTATATCAATTATAACTGATATACTTAGTATGGAGTATATCAAGGTTATTGAAAACTGATATAACCCAGTAATGTAGGACACAAAGGTATATATAAGTTATAACTGGTAATCAGCTATGTTACAACGTGATCGCGACGTAAAGTGGCTAACGTCCTCTTTTAAGATTATTTTATGATAAAAGATTTTGAAGTCGTCATCGATCATATTGAGGACACACTACAAAGAATTTATTGCTTTCCCAACGAAATTTTTCCCAATGTTAAAAAAGTCGTCGGGATAAGCCATTTTCTCCCGACGAAAATAAAATCGCAGGGACAACTATAAGTTTTGCCGACGTTACTATAGAAACGTTGGGAAAAAGCCTATATTTGGCAACGTTTTCTACAGAATGTTGGCAAATATTCGATTTCTTGTGACGTCTTACAAAAACCATTGGGAATATGGGCGGATAAATTCAAACACATCAAAGTTATRTAATAAATATTCTGACGTTTTAATAAAAACGTGGGGCAAATATCCCTTCTCCCGACATTTTTACAAAAAAGTTGGGTGAATATCACTCATCCCCACGTTTTATTAAAAATGTGGGTCATTTTCTCGCGGCGAAAATAAAATCGTAAGGACAATTATAAGTTTTGTCGACGTTACTACAGAAACGTTGGGAAAGAAAGTCTATATTTGCCAACATTTTCAACATAATGTTGGCAAATATTCGATTTCTTGTGACGTTTTACAAAAAATGTTGGGAATATGGGCGGATAAATTCAAACATACTAAAGTTACGTAATAAATATTCCAACGTTTTAATAAAAACGTGGGGGCAAAGATTCATTCTCGCGACGTTTTTTATAAAAATGTTGGGAGAAGATCACTCATCCCCACGTTTTATTAAAAAATTTGAGAGAAGTAATCTTATCCCAACATTTTTAAAAACGTTGGGATAACATAATGTATCCCAACGTTTTATTAAAAGCATTGCAATAAGATTTCTTGTGACGTTTTTACAAAAACGTTGGGACTAGTGCGCCCATCGTTTTATTAAAAGCGTCGATGTATATATCTTATTTCCTCTTACGTTTTGCAACAAACGGTGGGAATATGGGTTGATAAATTCAAACATACCAAAATTATGCACTGAATATTCCGACGTTTTAGAAACATTGGCAGAAAATCATTTATCCTCATGTTTTACAAAAAACGCTAGTAAAAGTAATCTTATACCAACGTTTTTGTAAAAATGTTGGCAAGAGATCAATTATCCCTATGTTTTACCTAAAAATTTTGGGAAAAGTAATCTTATCGTAACGTTTTAATAAAAACGTGGGGCAAAGATCCCGTCTCCCCACGTTTTTGTAAAAACGTTGGCAGAAAATCACTTATCCCCACGTTTTATTAAAAACGTTGGGAAAAGTAACTTTCTCCCCGCGTTTTTGTAAAAACATTGGCAAAAGATCACTTATCCATAAAACGTTGAGGGAAGTAATTTTATCCCAACATTTTTGTAAAAACGTTAGGATAATATAATATATCCCAAACGTTTTATTAAAAACATTGAGCTAAGTAACCTCATCCCAACGTTTTAAAAACGTTGGGATAGCAAAATGTATCCGAACGTTTATAAAAATGTTGGGGGTATTATTTTTAAAATAAATTTGAAAGTTAGAATATTTTAAAAATTAATTTTGAAAATAGAAATATCCAAAAAAAATAAAACCTTGAAAATGGCTGCCACATCCATCAAAGTTTTAAAAGATTTCTCCCAATATATTTCTAAAACTGTTGGGATAACATAATGTATCCCAACGCTTTTAAAAAAACGTTGGGGAAAGATAAAAAAGTTGGGAGAATCTTTTAAATTCCTAAATCTCATCTTTTACCTACCTTATTATAAAATGTTGGGAGAGGTTCTCGGATACCAACGTGGGAGAGATTCTTGGATACCAATGTTTGTTAGAAAACGTGGGTAGAGGATACCCAATATTTTAAAAAACATAGGGATAATTTTTAAAACTCTTTTTTTTTTGTGACAATCTTTTAGAACGATTTAAATCTTCAACATTATATATTTCCCTAACGTGATTTCAAAAAAACCCTGGCCTCCACTACATTGTCTTCTTCCCAACCCTCCCCCCCTCTCGTTTTTCGGTGAGCAGCAACCCGAGCAGCCGACGACACGACCTCCTCCCACAGCGGAAACAATCTGTCGGCAAGAACCCGAGCAGCTGCACCTTCCCCGATCAGATCTGCAGTGGCGAACGGCGGTTGCAGCCACATCCATCGACGGCACGGCACCCCTGCAGCATCTCCACGATAGTTCAAGCCCTGATCTGGTGCAAGCAGCGGGTGACCCTCGGTGTGCAGTTCTCTTCTACCCACGACAGTGCGCGACAAACAGGCAAGATTTAGCGGTTTCTACAGCGTTTCCGGCATCCCACGGTAGTAGCTTCAAACCTCAACGCTCCATTAGACCTGCAGCGGCAAGATTCGAGCAGATCCGACACTTGTAGCAACCGAAAAACCAGATCTGCGGCTCTCTCGATGCCGTTCTGCTGTGACTGGCGACGTGATCCCTCCAACGAACCTAAACAATCCAGATTCGTGAAGCTCAACAAGTTTCGATGTGTTATTCCTTGTCCCAGCGACATTTAAGGTTGACCCACTTGTTGGAAGCCAAATTAGTGATACCCACCCCCTTGGGCATTGACCCACCCCTAACATAAGTTGTTTTATTGTGAGTTAGTAGGTAACAACTCATCTAAACTTACTTTCAATTTAATTTAAATGTTTCTAATTTAACTTAAATTTGGTTGTTTTTGGATTTAGGAACCCTTCGGCGAGCTTTAGTAGTGTGTTGGGACTTTGGTGTAAGTAATACTTACTTGTGGGGATGTTTGTTGTGTGCTTATTTATGAATTGAATGTTTTGATTGGTGTGCTTTATCTCTTAATGTCTGTTGGATATATTTCGACAATTATATTATTGAATCATTGTGTTCATGAAAGCACACTGAGTTGTTGTCCATAGGTTTATGATAAAGTTAACGAAACTTGTTATTAAATTCCAATAGGATTGAACTTTAAAAGCACTTCAAACTTGCAAATTAGTTTCTAAAGTATAATTGGAAGATGAATAGAGATTGAATTAACCTAAGAGATAGGTTTTCAAGAGAATATGTAGAAGGAGTTTTACAATTTATAGATCTGGTAATTATGCGTAATTGATAATTACACATACCATTACTGTATGTTTTGTACTGACCGGTGTACTTCATGTGAAATGCAGAAAGACAAACTTGGTGTGGAGGTCGTTCCCATCCAAACGTTTAAAGAGACGAGATATAATCTTAAAAAAGGATGGGTAAACCCCCATGCCGAAACAACACATGTAAGTTTAGTTCGTTAATTATCCATTGCGAGTATATGAAATTAGAGTATTGTTACACAGTTCATGCCCCATTTTTGCAGAAAACGTTAGAGGACATGAGGGATGCACCGGTACCAGAAGGGACCGATCCGCCAAGAAGAAGATTGTTGTCGGACTGTATTCGGTCCGCAATCTGGATTCTTCGTAAGCATGAGGTTGGGCCCAACACCAGGAGCGAGAAGAGTAAGCTTATCCAACGATCCAATAGTCATGTTGGAACTAAACCAAACGAACAAAGAATTAAAGGCGACTAAAGACGAATTGAGGGAGACTAAAGAATGGTTGGAAAGTACCGAAGATCGCTTAAGCCGAACTAAAGAAGTTTTAGCCAGCAATCTACAAGAGTTCAGTAATTTCAAAAACTACTTCGAAAGTTTCACGAGTCAATCCTTAGGCGAATCATGCCCTTTGTCTGGATAGGCATAAAACTTTTACTTATGTTTTTGTAGCTTTTGAAAGATATTTAACGTGTAAATTCAATAACTTTTGAAGCATGTGAATTTGGATGATATTTTGGTATTTGATATTGGCAACGTTTTTGGTAAAAACGTCAGTAAAACTGTAAATATACCAACGTTTCAAAAACGTTGGTAGAATAGTAGATTTGTTAACATTTTTCGAAACGTTGGCAAAATAGTAGATCTGCCAACGCTTTTCAAAACGTCGGCATAATAGTAGATCTGTCGACGTTTTGAAAAGTGTCGGCAGATGAAAACATTTACCAACATTTTAAAAAACGTTGGCATATGGAAACTTCTGCCAACGTTGTAACTTCGACAACTCTACCAACGTTTCTCTAAAACGTCGACAGAAGTTTCCATCTGCCAACGTTTCTGAAACATTGGCAGATCTACCGACGTTTAGGAAACGTTGGTAGAAAGTCAGCTCTACCAACGTTTTTTGAAGGTCGGCAAAAGTATTATTCTACCAACGTTTTTTAGAAAACATCAGCAGTGTGCTTTCCCAACGCACTTTTGGGGACTTTTTTGCGGACCAATATTTATCGTTTGGAGAAAGTACTTCCAATGTTTTTTTGGTCTTTTCCCAACGTTTTATAGCGTTGGGAAAAATTGAAAATTGGTGTGCGTAAATTAGATCGAGTTTGGGAGCCATTTGTGTGAGGGAATGTGTTAGCACCCTACAACACCCGTAAAAACAGTTACTAGTATTTTATTATTTATTATCCAATTTATTAAATTATTGAAATTCCGTAAAACTGTATTTTATTTTATTTTGAAATGTCGCATGTTTATTAATTCACATTTTAGAAAGAAAACATAAATTAATGGTTATGGTGACATTAATGTCATTAAAATATGAGAAATTATATTTTGAAGAAATTCCATGTATTTAAGAAATTTAATAAATTCTAAAAAGATAACGCTACTCAATCTCCCTCTTGTTTAAAAAAAATTATTTAAATGTTTTAGGAAAAAATATTTTTAATTACTGAAATTCATTTTAATATGAAATAATTAAAATTTCATGTATTTATGGAATTATAAAATCCATGGAACATTACTTTTTCCAAAATTATGGAAATTGATATTTTTTATTTGCATAAATTTTCATGTATTTATGAATTTTAAGAAATTAACACTACTAATATTCGAATTTGATTTCTATTGCCAGAAAACAAAATTTGTTGTCGGGAATTTTGTAAAATTGATAAGGAATTTCATAAATTTATGAGATTTAAACAAAAATTCAAGAGAACACTATTCAACCTCGAAAATGAAATACTTATTTTCTCTAATTTATTTTGCTTAAACACATAGAATTTAAGTGGACGTAAGAAATATAAAAATACGTATATACTACTCTACATTGCATAATATCATAATTTAAATCCTACAAAGTAATAATTAACTTGAAAATAAATTAGAACTTCTATGCGATCTAATAATTATAAATAAATAAAATAATAGAAAGAATTTCAAACCTTTAGGGAGATCTAGACAATTTTGAGAATTTTAAGAGAAATATATATATTTAAATTATTATGTTTATTTAGTTGTTTTCTTTATTTTCTCAAAAATATAAATTTTTGTTTTAAAAATTATTTTTCAAAGATAATTTGTTCTTAGAATTTAAAAAAATAAAAAGAAAGAGTTTTATTAAATCTTTATCTTTTTATTATCCTTTTTAAATAAGGATTCATTAGGATTTGTTATAAAAGCCCTTAAAACCCTAGGTTTTATTTTCTTAAACTGTTAGACCTAGTTTTCTCTCCAACAACAAAAGAAAAGGAAAGAAAAATAATTTTGGTATTTTCTCTCAAAGATCGGTAAGCTTTTTTCTTGCTCATTGTTTTAGTTTTATTCTTTTTGATATGTAATTCTTTAATTCAATTTATCGGGAAAAGTTTTTGAGATCTTTGTTTTTAAAATAAGAAAAATGGAGATTATACTGAAAAGGTGATGAAGGAGAGATTACACTGGTAAAAACTAGAGTTGTAAGACGTAGGGAGAGAGATTTTTGGAGAGAAATACCTTCGTTAAAAAAAAGGGACTCTTGTAGGTGATTAGAAAGATTGTGAAGAGAATCACCCTATATTGCAAAGAGAAAAAAAATGAAAATTGAACAAGGTGAGAAAGGGATTTTTGGGAAGAATTTCCTCCCTAAAGAATGGAAATCCCGCAGGGTATTTTAATCTTTCAACCAAATTTACAAACGACCTCCCCTCATAAATATTAGTGGGAGTGAGAGAAGGGAAATTGGACTGAATAGCCTTCTTCAAAGGCCAACTATGAAATGTATCACAAACTCCAAATTTTATGTTTTCTAACAATTTGCTTACGTCACTTTTGCGTGAAATTACAAATTACCCATTGTTATCTTATCTCTCATTTTTCTGCTCTTTCCTCTTCCTCTCTGTGATTTGATTTTTTTTTCACTATCAGATTTTTCAAGGTCGTGTACCCCTCTCTCCCTCTCTCTTTCTTCCATTTTTTCTACACCACATCCCATTCGATTTTTTTGCTTTCCTTTGATTTTGAATTTTTTTATTTTGATTTTGAAGACATGCACTTTTCTCTCTCCTCTCTCTCTCCTCTCTCTTCCTTGTTTTTCATTCATCTACTCTCAATCTTGACTCCATTGTTGGAGCTTAAAATTCAAAAAACAAAATAACAAATACACAGCACAAAAGAACAGGTCACACCTAAAAGAGAGGTAAAAACTCAACAAAGAACACCAAGAACAAAGAGTTCACACAAACCCCCCACATAAAAACGAGAAAAATAGAACACACAAATCTCATAATACCATCTTTCTCTTTCTCAATGACACCGGTGTGCTTCTGTTGATGTACTTATTGAGAGAGAAATAAGAAAGTGGGGGAAGTCATAATTTCATTCATTAGTGCTCCATATAAATACATACTATGATACTACAAATAAACATAACTATCTCCACATAATTAGCTACTCAACTAACCCATAAGAATAGCAACTTAGACTTGACTACAACCAAAAAAAGAATATCAACAACTTCCTAAAAACTAGGTCTTTGACCAAACCAATTCAAAACTAACATTCAAACTATGTATTTGTATCTTTGAGTTAACTAACATTCTCCTCCTGACTCAAATACTACAAACACCCAACTTGCTCCTAAGAGCTTGAAAACGACCCACACTAAAGAACATAATACTTGATCTTAAAGTGCTTGGTCCTTCCATGAAAAACTGGATTCAATGAAATAGCTAGAGTGGCTTGATTATCCACAAACACCTTCACACTCTCTTCTTGCTTTAGATGCAAGTCACGCATCAACTTCTTCAGCCAAACAGCTTGGTTGACTGTTGCTGTTGCTGCAATAAACTCAGCTTCTGCAGTTGACTGAGCCACTATATCTTGTTTTTTTGAACACCATGAGAAACACCCTGAGCCAAAAGTGAAACAATAGCCAGAGGTGCTCTTCATATCATCTAAATTTTCAACTATCTGAATAACCCTGCAACTCAAAATTTTCAACTTTACTGTATTTGATCCCAAAAGACAGTGTGCCTTTAAGATATCTCAAAACCCTCTTTCCAGCAACCATATGATTCTTGCTTGCACAGTGAAGAAATCTAGATAAGACACTTATAGTGTACATGATGTCAAGCCTAGTGGATGTGAGATACATAAGACATCCCACTAGACTTCTGTACACATTCTCGTCTGCAGGTTCCTCCCCATCATCCTTCTGCAACTTCTCCTTCTGAATCATCGGAGTGTTCACACTCTTACACTCCTCCATATTGAACCTCTTCAATATCTCTCTCATGTACTTCTTCTGACAGAGAAACACTTCATTCTGCCCTTGCTGAATCTCCATGCCAAGGAAGTAATGCATCAGACCTAGATCGGTCATCTCAAACACCTTCATCATTTCTTGCTTGAACACCTCTATCTGATTATTATCACTTCCTGTCACCAGCAAGTCATCTACATAAAGAGATACAATCACAATAGTAGTACCTGATTTCTTCACATAGAGTGTGGATTCATTCAGACTCTTCACAAAACCCAAGCTCAGCAAGTGATCATCCATCTTGCTGTACCATGCCCTAGGAGCTTGCTTTAACCCATAGAGAGCCTTCTTCAGTAAATAAACCTTCTGCTCTTGCCCTGGTGTGATGAACCCGTCTGGTTGCTCAACGTAGATCTCTTCTTCTAACACTCCATTTAAGAATGCTGACTTCACATCTAGTTGATACACCTTCCATCCATGCTGAGCTGACACAGCCAGTAGCATTCTGATTGTGTCCATTCTTGCAACCGGTGCAAAAGTCTCAGAGAAATCAACTCCCCAGACTCGTGCATACCCTTTCACCACTAACCTGGCCTTGAGCTTGTTCACAGAGCCATCTGGATTTAATTTAGTCTTGAAAACCCATTTGACTCCAATCACCTTTCTGTCAGTAGGCTTCTCCACTAGCTCCCATGTCTTGTTCTTCTCTATCATTCTCAACTCCTCCTTCATTGCCTCCATCAAATTTTGATATTTTTGAGCTTCTTCAAACCCTGCAGGCTCCAACACAGCTACGCTGCTTCTTTCATACACCTCAGTCAGTAGTCTAGTCCCTCTCACTGGTGCATCATCAACTAGTTCATCAGGCTCCAGAGAGACTTCTTGTTGCTTCACCTCTGCTTCTTCTGTCCAGTCCCACTCCTCATCCTCCAAAAATTGAACGTCTCTACTAATCACCATCTTCTTTGTATGAGGTTGATAGATCTTGTAGGCTTTGGACACCATGCTATAGCCTACAAAGATTCCTGGTTCTGCCTTCTCACTCAACTTGTCTCTCTTCACCTGTGGAACATAAAAAAAACACAAACAACCGAACACCTTCAAATTTGTCAGTTTTGGTTTAGTATCAAACCAAGCTTCATAGGGGTCTTCTTCTCCAAGACCCTTGTAGGTAGTCTATTCAATAGAAAGACTGATGTGTTTGCTCCTTCAGTCCAAAACTCCTTTGGCAAAGTCTTCTCATGCAACAAGCATCTTGTCATCTCCATAATACACCTGTT